AATGTTATCGGTTCTAGCCTGGCATCTCGGCTTCAGTCACTTTCCCAACGCCGTAATTTAACTCACTGTGTCTTTTCCATAAATACTTACATGGCAATTGTTCTGATGAATTTTTCTCTATGCCACCTAGACTTCATGAATTTAAGTGCTGAAAGTTTCTTCTCGCTTGTGGAAACCTCTTCCGGATTCAACTTTAATCTTCAAAAATTTAAACGCAATGTCATTTACAATCGCCTGATGAGATGCATTGATACGCATCGAAACACGACTACAATTGTGTTGCGATTTTGGTATGTTTTCGATGTAATATCCTAAAATAAAGAATATTGCTCTACTTTGTATTGAGCCATCTTTTAAATTAAATATTACGAACATTGTAATTGTACTCTATTCGCTTTTACCTGTATATATATATATATATATATATATATATATATATATATATATAGATGGATAGATGAGTTTGTGACCCTTTAGCGATCGTCAGACAAATTCTATTATATATATATATATATATATATATATATATATATATATATATATATATATATATATAAAATGAACGACAATTATTTTAAGACTTTTTATGTTTATACGTTCTTTTATAGATACAAATATTTAAGTAATTTCTCGAACATTCAGGCCAATAAATGTTGTTAATACTGTTTATGATAAATAGAGCATTTACTTAAGTATTTGTATCTATAAAAGATCGTATAAATATATATATATATATATATATATATATATATATATATATATATATATATATATATATATATATATATATATATATAATAATATTTTTGTTTAAAAAATATGATTATTTAATATAATATAAGCTCTACTTCTGTATGGAGCACCGTCTTCTTAAAATAAAAACAAAAAATACTAAGGAACCCCGGATTATGCACCCAACGTGTTCTTTTCTATTTTCTGCATACCTACCTATATATATATATATATATATATATATATATATATATATATATATATATATATATATGTCTGTGTGTGTGTGTGTGTGTGTGAACTCTTCCGTTGATTTCAACGTATGAATGATTAATAATTGAATTCCCAGGAATAAACTGCCAGACTACCTGCACATATGGTTCGATTAGAGCGGCGATCAGTTTCAGCTTTTAGATATTTAGAAATAATAATTTTAATCAGTGCGAAATTCATCAGGGCTTCATTCAACAGACACAAAGGAACAATTCTGTTAAACTAAGAATGACTTCCTATTAAAATTATTTTTTCAATTGTAGAATATATAAGTGGAAAATAAATAACATTTCTTTTTGACAAATTCCTTTTGATTTTCTTTAAATACTTGAGCAATTAGTCACAAGAACGGCGAGAAAGCTCCGAACAAATGCGATAGTTATACATCTGCGTAATCTCGTCACGTGGTCAGTGAACAGAAGAAAATGCAAAATAAACAACATGGCCAATGCACGTAATGACACTCAGAAATGGAAATTGATCGATTGTGGTGGCGAGGATTTTGCTAACAAAATCATACGCGCCAGATTTCGCCATCATTTAACATCAACAACAACTACAAAAAAAGAGTTAAATACAACAGAGACAGCAGATATCAATTTGATTAAGGCGGGAAAAGGCATGGAGGAAGTAGATTTCTTTTTTTTAACCAATGAAAACCTTATCAGAGAATAAATATGTGACTGATAATACGTTGAATAATTGCAAGTGGCAGATGTCTGAAAGACTTGAGTCGAAGATTAACTTTTAAAACGTGAAAGGTTTTTGAACTCTTTCAATGATGCAAGATCAATATTTTTAACTCGACTTGAAAATTTTAACTTTGCTCTTATGAGATGATAAACTAAGAATTCCAATAGCATAGTAAAAGTAGTCCTATTCACAGGAGAATTATGAAAATTCAACATCATGGCCAACATGGTCGTTTCTCTCTCTCTCAATTTTTTCAGATTTTAAATTATCATTATAAGATTTGTTCTGGATTTTGTTTTATGGGCAACTTTTCTCAAATTCGACTAAATCTTAAGCAAATTTAATACATATGTGTCAGTGCGGCTTAAGCAACTAAAGTAAAAAATATTTTGAAAGAGTTCAAAAACCTTTGAACAAGTTCAAAAACCTTTGAATAAGTTCAAAAACCTTTGAATGAGTTCAAAAACCTTTGAATGAGTTCAAAAACCTTTCATATTACAGAATGAAAATTTTCACTCATCTGGAGATTTGCAACTCTTCTCTTATGGGGCCAAAAGATATGAATTTTAATGACATAACAAAAGTATTTCAATTCACGTTAGAATTTCGAAATTTCAACCTCATGTCTAACATGTTTTTTTCTTCTTTTCTCTCTGTTTTCTTTTTACATCAGTTTTTATTATATGATTTTTTTATAAGCAAATAAAGGAAACTTAACTAAATCCTAAGCTTACTCCACAATTGATTTAAGTGTGGCTTAAATATCTAAAAGAAAAAAAAACTTTTAAAATTTGAAAAGTCTTTGAACTCTTTTAATGTTGCAAGATGCATATTTTCACCCAGTAATTTTGTTTTTATTAGGTCATAAAGTTATGTATTTCAACAGCATAACAAAAGCCGATTCATTCGTATTATCATACGGGATTATTTTTAATCTTTAGTAGTTCTTCTACGAGGGATTTTTATTGGAGTCACGGTGGAGTAATAGCTAGCGGCTCGGACTGAGGAATCAGAGATTAGGGTTCGAATTAAAGTTGATTCCATTACATTCAATCATGTGCTAATACCCTAACAAAGTTATGAATCCATCTGCTTTGTTAGACAGGGGTTCTATAGCGTTGGTTGTCGAGAATGAGTTACAGGTCTCATAATAGTGACACAAGGGAGCTCAGTCAATAATCAAAGAGGAGTAAAAATACAGAAAGCTGTGGAGAACCATGATCACACGCACATACACAGAGACAAAGAAGTTGTTAAATAACAACTTGTACTGAAATTTGACCAATACTTAAACAACTTTGAGTAGAACAAACTCCTGGGAGTTTTCGTAATCAGAGATGCATCCCTTCAGGAGTTTGCTCCAAAGATTGGGATTTAGTCAAATTTGAGTACCTAATCAAATCCAGGGTCGACTGTTATCTATCCTGCATACCCTCATGATATGCACTTTTTACTTCCTCCATTTACACTAACGTAAGCGAACGACAGTATAAAAAGAATTTCACTTCTTATATCAAATAACCCAAAAATCAAAGAAGAATCTAAAAGAAAAACATTAATAAAAAGTTACTAAATGCGTAATTTATACTGTATTCAAGAATTCTACCAGTTTACTTACATCGAAATACATTATGAGATGGATAAAGTCCGACAATTATTTAAAACATTTTTTATGATTATACGTTCTTTTTATAGATACAAATATTTAAGTAAATGCTCTGTTGATAATAAACAGTATTAACAACATTTACCGGCCTGAATGTCCGAGAAATTTTCATAGAAAATATGCGTCCACCGACAAGAATCGAAACTGTATCCTATACAGTTAGGTTAGCAAGGTTGATTTTACTGTTTTTAAACACAATTTTCCATGATTTTCTCTCATTCATTCATATCTGCTCAATGCGAATACAAATGTAAACAAATGACGTCGTACATTATGAAATGGACAAAGTCTGACAATTATTTATAATTATAATTTATAATTATAAGACAAAAATGTCTTAAATAATTATCGGACTTTGTCCATTTCATAATGTATGACGTCATTTGTTTACATTTGGATACGCATTGAGCCTAACGCTCCTCTGTGGCCCAATCGGTTAAGGCACGTCAGGCTATATGACGGTTCCGTATAGGATACAGGTTCGATTCCTGTCGGAGGACGCACATTTTCTATGAAAATTTCTCGGACATTCAGGCCGGTAAATATTATAAATACTGTTTATTTTAAACAGAGCATTTACTTAAATATTTGTATCTATAAAAATAACTTATTACATCGGAATGTTTTTCTTTTTAGTTATTGGACCCAAGCATAAAAAATAATATCCTATGTTGCTTATAAAATTCATTCATATAGTTATATACTTTTTACTTGTAAATGTCTCTCTTAGTCACAGACACAAGACACGAGTACAAATTACCGTTTATCACCCAGCAATTGGTTCAATATCATAGCAAACAGGATTTGGGCACTTCGCCGTGGTGTAATGAAAGGTTTATCTCGCTAGATCAATCTGAATTGTGAGTTCGATCCTCGCTATATACCTCATAGTTTAGGCCTTGATCCCAAGAGCGAAGCCGTCTGCAGTTCCAACTCATGTAGGGCCACTCATGGCGGTAAGGTCGAAGAGGTAGGACCAGACTGAACGCAACTAAACCCCGCCCGAAGACCCCCAACGGCGGTAGAGACAAAGATGTAGACGATCTCGACGGTTAAATTCGGCGGAAGAGAACAGAGACAGTCGGACTGGCGTAATCAAGGCGGATCTAGACAGACCAGACATCCGACATCCCAATGCAATCAGGTTTGCCAAAGATTCACATGACTTGAGGCAAGCGTTTCTGGCCAGAGTGCGCGAACTTCTCCGCCGTGCAGAGTTGTCCATCAAAATTAAATTCACGCAAATGGCGTTGCGGAACTCTCTTTGATTCAAAGCAATCACCGCTAGCGCCACTAGTGGAGAAAAAGAGAATCGAGACAATTCTAATGCTCGGTCAAGCGGGTGTCGACAACGCTTAAAAAACTACCATAGAAAACTGGTCTGTTTAGCCATGTCACCCAGTCTACAAGAATGACAAGTCTGAATTCAAAAACGTGGAGAATGCAACGGAAAATCACTCAACTATTTTTTCAAATAAATCATGTCAATTCTCGGTTAATAAAGCAAAGGAAGCTATGGAGAGCCATGATCGTCTGTGTCCCAACGTGGCACGGTATTAAACAAAGAAATCAAGTATGAAAGTCATTGATCAATATTATAAATATACATTAAATAATTCCTGTTACTAATTAAGGGATGACTGTCTCTCTCTCGCTCACTTTTTCTCTCTCTCTTTCTCTCTTTCTCTCTCTCCCTTTCTCTCTCTCTGTCTGTCTGTCTCTCTTTCACTCTCTCCTTCTCTCTTTCTCTTTCTCTCTCTCTCTCTCTTTCTCTCTCTCCCTTTCTCTCTCTCTCTGTCTGTCTCTCTTTCTCTCTCTCCTTCTCTCTTTCTCTCTCTCTTTCTCTCTCTCTCTTTCTCTCTCTCCCTTTCTCTCTCTCTGTCTGTCTCTCTTTCTCTCTCCTTCTCTCTTTCTCTCTCTCTTTCTCTCTCTCCCTTTCTCTCTCTCTGTCTGTCTCTCTTTCTCTCTCTCCTTCTCTCTTTCTCTCTCTCTCTTTCTCTCTCTCCCTTTCTCTCTCTCTGTCTCTCTTTCTCTCTCTCCTTCTCTCTTTCTCTCTGTCTGTCTCTCTCTCTCTATTGCCCACAGACGTATAAACACACACAACACATATACCTGCACAGAAACCCTTTAACTTTATCGCAGCACAATCATAATTCTGTGAGGATTCATTTTTACACTTCTTTCCGATTTGACTAATTTCGTATAATAGTGAAAGAGCGTTGAAATATCGGTTCCCGTACGAAGTTAAGCAATGTCAAGCCTGGTCAGTAGCAAGATGAATGACCGCTTGAGAATTCCAGTCTAGTTCGTTATATTCCCCTACACTTTAGAAAGGTATGAATTCATCTCTGCTCCTCTTAGCAATTTTATAATTAGTGCAACTTGTATCAGTAAATGAGAATTATCTCCAAAAACTTCTTCCAATCTAAGACTATTTTCCGGCTTTAAATAAACTGCAAAAGCCGTAAAAAAAAACAAACAAACATTAAATTGTCAATCCTAGTGAATGAATTGTTTTTAATTACAGTAGCTTTTCCATTTAATCCTTATGGCAATAGATCTGATGATGCATAACTCTTAATGATGGAATAAATTCCTTACGATTTCCCTACTATAAAATACCGATGGAATTTCCACTTTTGCATCGTTAAATATTTGAGCTTAACAAAATATTGCAATAACAATCATTTTTGATAAATGCAGGACATTTTTTGTTATTTTCAATTCTCTCCTATTATTCTGACTTCTAGCTTAAATATATTTTATTAATGAAGGATTATTATCTATAAAACTTGAATAATATTGAAGAAGGTACATGAGATACAAATAAAGAAGTATTATAAATAACGAAAATAATATATCGCCATTTTAACATTGCAGACAATTTCTTTTTTCTTTCTTTCTTCTTTCTTTCTTTCTATCTATTTCTCTTTCCATTACTTTCTTTCCGTTCTTCTTTCTTTCTTTCTATTTCTCGGCTTCTTTCTTTCTTTCTTTCTTTCTTTCTTTCTTTCTTTCTTTCTTTCTTTCTGTCTGTCTCTCTCTCTCTCTCTCTCTGTTCCTTTATTCCCCTTTTTCTTTCTTTATTTCTGTTCCTTTCTTTCTCCCTTACTGAAATTTTATTGAAGCTGACATTAAGCGCCTGTTAGCGTTATCGCGTCTTCTACCTTCCCTTTCTTTCTTTCTTTCTTTCTTTCTTTCTTTCTTTCTTTCTTTCTTTCTATCCCTCCCGTTCCTTTCTCTATTTTCCGTACTTTTTTCATTCCCTCTTTTCTTTTTCTTCCTTATTGACATTTCACTGAAGCATTATATTAAGCGCCTGATAGCGTTATCGCTCCCACTTCCACCATCTGCCTTTTCTTTCTTACTTTTTTCTTTCTTTATTTCTTATCAAAATATGTAACTTCTTTGTCTTCTCAAAACCAGACAGCGTCTCTGCTCTATCTTTTTCTTTCGTCTTTCCTCGCAATCAAAACGAAATTGTCCATTATTTATCTGAGGCAATGACAAGGCTTAATGGTCGTGTGAAAGGAAGAAGACGCAATTATAATGTGATATTCTGATTTATTCATATTTATTTTTAATACAATTCTAATTTCTCTCTAAACTTACCACCGGCGTATGTGTTCTAATTCAATCAATTGATTTTACATTTCAAAATGTCACTCTTTACTCACAAACCAAATATTATCTGTCGATTTCAAGAATTGCAGTTTAAAAATAAACAAAACTTTTCTATGTTAAATGTGTCGATATAATTATAGTTAAGAACTGTCAAATTGTCTTTATTAGTAATGTATATTTTTTTTATAAATCTCATGTCCCTTTAGGATATAAACATTTATGGCCCTTCACAAGTTTCTTTGTTAGCTGTGAATTATTTTCTTGGGAAAGACGTTAGAATGGCTTCCCGTTGTTTTTTCCACACTTAGAGTTGCCTTCTTCTTAGACTGATTCCTGCTCAAGGATTGAGAGCCTAAGTCTACCCTTCTATTTCTTAATTCCTGGGACATCATCTATGTCATTCACGTTTTGTGACCGGTGCTGTTTTTAATTGGAAAATATCTCAGATGACTTCTAAATTCGTAATTTGATTTTTTTAATCATTTCGTTCCAACTAAGGCAATAAAACCGCCAAGATGCAAACGGTTATTGAGAGTGAAAGAATATGAAAAAAAAAAAAAAAAAAAAAAAAACAGCACATTATTAAATAGAGAAAAAAAAGAACAGGAATTAAGAAAACCAAAAAAATTGAAAGTGAATTTAATTTTCTGAAGATCAAAGTTGAGTGAAATGCAAGAGGCCAGAAGAGGGTTCCATAACTGAGAAATACGAAAGAGGAAACTGTTACCATAGAACTTACGGTTGCATCTAGACATTTTAAATTGTGAAATGATGAGAGCTCGCATCCAATGTAGGATTTATTATCCTTTATTTATTCCTTATTTGTCCGTTGCCGACTTTCATTTTTGGGAACTATTTGAATAGACTGATCCACTTGTAAAAAATAGGGGAACATTTCCCAGGTGCCTAATTTGTTATCGACTTAGAAGAAGTCCAGTTCAAAATATCGATCCAGTATCAAATCGATCCTTCTCTTTTACAGAGTTATCTGCTCTTAGTTTTATTTTAGTTACACATGCCGTGTCTTGAAAAATGTGCTTACTTCATTGATATTTGTATAAGTTTTTTTTTCTTCCTTAGTTGCCATGTGTAATGGACGCCTAGGCGATCACGTTTCTTTTCGATTAATAATTGACTAGGCAAAAGAAATTCCCGCAGTAGGCTTCCGTTACTTTTTGCATTAGACTGGTTGCCAACCAAGGCTATAGGACCATTGCCATGCAGAGATTTGGTGATACCTGAAGCCAATCCCTTATTATATGCCCCTAAGATTCAAGTAGTGGTGACCTATAGGTCCCAGTATAGAGAAATGTGAGAAAGGAAGACATCTTAAATATGTAAAAATAGATGAAAGATGAAATAAACACTTTATTCAAATTAAATATAAGCTAATTTTTTATTTCACTCTCTGATTGGATGCCTGGGGCTGACGCACCCCCTGTTCCCATTCTGCGCGTTACTAATAGGACCCTGTCTGTACTGTATTTTAACCCATAGCTTGGAAGATGGATTTATATCTTTCCCAAAGGGATTTGCACATAAGAAAATGTCGACTAAAACTTGAACTCGGCTCTTCAATTTTTCATTCCGAGCTGTTATGCATCACGCCACCCGCACATCCAAGCTTACAGAGATTACTATTACAAATGCAGTCACTCATTTAGGTACTGACCATGCTCAAGATTGCTTAACTTCGATGATCGGACAAGAAGCGATGTATCGAAGTGGGATGACCATAAGCAATGTGTTTTTAAAATGTTCCATCAACCCAATTTCACTCACAAGTTATCGCCTCCTCTAGACCGTTAAAATCAAGTAGACATCTTCCCGACAATTCGACTATGTTTAGGTTCGAACTCGGGTCTTATGGTCAGAAGGCGAACGTTTCCAAACACTCGGTCACGTGACCATATTCTTGCCCACCATATTTTTTTTTTATTTCAGTGAGCACTTGTAGAAAAACTAAAACTAAATTTTAATAAGGAAAAATTAGTCATGAATTTTGAAAACAGGAAAATACTAAAGAAGTCTCCTTAAATAAGCATTTATTTTTAAGACATTACATTGTAATTTTTTAAGTATACTTGTATGAAATCTGAGCTTGATGGGCTTTTGATAAAAAAGAAAATTACCTATAATGGTTGTCATTTTGAGTTTAGCACTCCCAAAGAGGATTAACGGTACAGTTTTCATTTAAAGGCATTCATGAAAAGTTTTCTATTCTTTTTAGAGCCCGATAATGACTTATTTAAATCCCTTGAAGAAGATAAAAGGGAAAGGATTATTCACTCCTTCTTAAAGATTAAGGAATTTAGCATCCAGCTGAAAATATCAAATGACAAAAACTTGGCTTAGACATTTTGTTAATGTATATAATTTTTTGTTCTTTAATTACAAGTGTTTCACTTCATCACAAATTACATGTGTCTGCCCTTTTATGGCAAAAATATTTTTGTAAAAAAATAAACTATATCTCCAAAGGTTTCGGTATTTTATTTTTAATCCGGTATCACCCCATGCAAGGCAGTAAAACCACTAAGACGCAAGGGGGCTACAGCGTGTGGAAGAATTAAGAACAGAAACATTAATAATGAGAAGAAAGAGAAAAGGATAATCAGGAGGACAGTAGATAGCGATTGACATTGCATTTAAATTTTTGCAGATTAAAGTTGGCTGGAAAGCATGAGGCCGGAAGGGAGTTCCACAAGCAAGATGTGCGAGAAAAGAAACTAATAGCATAGAACTTACGGCTACATCTAGGCAGCTCAAAGGTAAATTGATGAGATCTTGGCACCAGTCTAGTATTGCGCTTAAATTCATAAAGTCTAGGTGCCATACCGAATAGTTCATCCGAACAGTTACAAAAATATTTAAAATATTTTCTTGAAATAAAACATATATATATATATATATATATATATATATTCGTTATTTAAAGGAAATCATTTAGTAAAATGTCTGTTTTCGTTTCACAGATATCAATAATGTAAGCACAGTTTCAAATTTAACTATTATAAATACACAATAAAAGTCAGGGATTGATTTGAGTCTCTATAAACAGTTTGGTTTGGTTTGGTTTGTTTTACGGCATATCAACACCTCAATGGGTCATTTAATCTCGACAACGTTTTTTTTTCCTAGTAATATTTTTGCTTTGTCAAAAATCTATTTCTGTTAATATTTTCCCCTCAAAAATGTATAGCTGGTAGTATTATTTTTTTCCAAAAACGTATAGCTGGCAACATTATTTTTTCAAAAACATATTATCAGAGGCTTTACTGTTGGACGTAGGTTATTTCTCATACCCAGGACGCGGATGTAGTTTATCGTCATACCCAGGACGCGGATGTAGTTTATCGTAATACTCAGGACACGGATGTAGTTTATCTTCATACCCATGACGCGAATGTAGTTTATCGTCTTACCCAGGACGTGGATGTAGTTTATCGTCATACCCAGGACGGGGACGTAGGTTATCGTCATACTTTATAAACAGTAGCCTCTTTCTAAATCGAAAACAAATTAATATTTTGAGATTTTGAAAAGTGTCGCGGCTTAACAAAGGTCCAAAGAATACTAATCAAGCAAAATTATTTTTTAAAAAATAATATTTTCCTGTTTGTTACGAGTTTATCAATCTGCTTAGGTAGTGTTGGTTTTTGTAATGATGACAAGTGGTTCTTTTGATATCAAATAAGTACTCGAGTTACACTTTTCTCGTAGTAGATTTGACATTTTGTTCTTTGTGCCTACATTTCAAAAGATTATAGGAGAATTAAATTCTCAGACATCCGTAAGTAACTTAAGCGACTGCAAGCCTACAAGTTTAAACTCATAAGTAGTTTTAGTAGCAAAATCATAAATCCGTTAACAGACACGTAAGTAGAACAAAAAGCGATAAATTTACCCGAAAAAGCAACTCATCTTCAAATATTTTACGTGAGAGATTTAGAAGGCTTTGCAAGGTGTTTATAAAGTCCATACTTACCGTATTTGGTGGCGTATAAAAGGAGCTTTTTTTTAAAAATAAAATTGGCTAAACATTGTCCTGCAGCTTTTATACAAAGTTGAGGCACCCAAAGGCTAATTTTAACTCGAGTGCTCACTACCAGAGGTTGATTTTACTTCGGATTAATTGATTGATTAATTGAACAGTACACCGGCAACATGGCGGATAACGCTGGTGTACAAAAATGTGAAGACCAATATGGCCTTCATGACAACCAGTATGGCAAGAGTATATCAAGCACATTCAACACAGCCAAATGTGCGCAATATTATATCAGGATTTGATGAATGCCGCATATAGTCTTACAGGTTGAACTCAGAAATATCTTCAGGTTTGGTAACTCAGTCTGCTGGGACAGTTTCTTACTGAAAGTTTTCCCAAATATCTAGATATGGCTCCCAAGCAGCTTTGGCTGTGGCGTCCGTCAGACTTAAACAGAAAATGGTCTCGATAGCCAGACATGATACACAATATTACTGCTCATGTAGAGAGACGAACGGAGATATTCCCCAAGTGGTTATTGTCAGGCAAACGACAAACAAATTTCCGATACTGAACAGGATATTTACTGTAGCACATCTTTACTCACCACGACAAAAGATGTAAATGGTAACACCCTTAATCATTTAAGAATAGAATCTAAAAGGACCATGTCCGATGTAGTGTCCGGGCATTTATTATTATTATTATTATTATTATTATTATTTTCTTTGATTTCTGGCGTTTAGACATTTCTTTCCGGGTCCCGCTCAGCGACCTAAGGTTAGAAATGGCGTCATGACACTTTCCACTGACAAAAAAAAAAAAAAAAATTACATAAAAGCCCTTCGTAAAGTGCGGGCTGTACTTGTCAGAACAATTTTTTGTAGAAATGAAAGAAGACGTTTAATGTAACCGTGCGTATTTGATGCAGTTAATTACGGTATTTTAGTAAAAAAAATAGAAATTATTTTAAAAAATGTAATCATATTTATTAATTTGTTTTGTTCCTTTATAATTTAATTTTCCACCATTATAATTTTATAATTTAATTTTCCACCGTTACCACTATTAACATTCGTAACAGAAAAAATAAAAAATAAAATAAAATAAAATAAAAATAACGTTGTGTTAAAAGGACCTTTTTTTTCTCTTGACACCGCCATACTGTATACACTCACAGTGATTTTTTTTTTACTAAAAAGCTATTTAAAGAATTTTAATAGAACCTAAACATATGAAACTGGATGAATGCATTCTATTTTCGTCTCAAAAAATTCACAACAAAAAATGAAACACTATTCTTCTAAATAAACAGTCTTCAATATTCTCGTAATTTAACATTTTTGCTGTCAGTTCTCTAGAAAAAAATAAATTCAGATCTTCGTAACATATTTTAGTGAACTTATGTGAGGTGAGCATATGAAAGAAATGTTCGAAAATGCATTTTTTTTTACACGCAGAGCGTTCCGTATCATTGCTCTTTTGAAATCGTTCAGCAGAATTTTGAAATACATTCTGGCCCATTTGTGATATTGGTATTTTCTGCAGCATTTCGTACACGTTCGCGAAGATTCTACAGAGTCTTAATCCTCGCTTGGTGAGACTGGCAACCCAATACAAATACAAATACAAAAATATCAAAAAAAGGTTTGATTTAATCACCTTGCTGGCCATAGTCTGTTACGTTCATTCAATAATTTGCCTATGTAATATTTTTTTTTATTTATTTTAATTTTCAATACTTTCACTGTGTTTCACCTAAATAGAGATTTATTAATTATCTGTATATATGGTAACTGAACAAATCCGTCTCCCTCACCTCTCTTCCTCTCTCTCTCTGTAGAGGAAGTGGCTATGGTTAAAATGTAAATGACGGAACTGCCTAACAAACAGGATTGATAAAATTTACAATAAGCAATGACAAGAAAAAGAAAAAAAGAACAGGTCAAAAATAATATAAAACAAGCAAACAATATATGTAAGGCAAATTAACAGTAATAAGGCAAAGCAACAGTAATAAGGCAAACAGTTTACAAACTAAGAATTGTGGTTCACACACTAAAGCGGATTCGGATTAACGAACAAAGCGTTTTGAGTTCAAGACAAGACAGACCGGGACTAAGTCAGATGAAACCGAGATGTGGCCTATCTAATTGGCTAGGAAGAAATCCAACATGCATTTGTATGCTTCTGTTTATAAATTGGGGAGGTGAATGTTTTTTACAATTAGTCACAGAATAAGATTGGAACCGACACTTTCTTTCTTTCTTTCTTTCTTTCTTTCTTTCTTTCTTTCTTTCTTTCTTTCTTTCTTTCTGTTGGGGCGCACCCACCTTCTCATCAGAATGGACTGATCTCTCTACTACTAATAGGACAGTTCTATAGAGTTCTGGGAGATCAGGTGACCATCACACTTCCGTCTCTCCACCGGAAGATACAGTTGGACTTTATACTCTTTCTGATTGTTACTGACTAACCTGCGTTCGTTTGACTACTAATCTTTCTGTTGTAAATACCTCTTCAGATATACCAGTATTTTTCCCTACGTATGTGTTTGTCCTTATTTCAATACACGCACGCGGAAACACTCAACATCTCAACACTTTCTTTCTTTCTTTCTTTCTTTCTTTTTCTGCTGATAACCCGCCGTTTTGAATTTAAGGCAGGCAACGCAATATCACCAATTTTCAGTTGAGCAGGCTAGATTTATCCTTAAGTTCTATGCTAACAGTTTTTGTTCTCGCACTTCAAGCTTATGGAACTCTCTTCCGGCTCCATGTTTTTCAGCCAACTTTGATCTTCAAAAATTGCAATGTCAATCGCTATCTACTGTCTTCTTGCTTACTCTTCTATAGTTTTCGCTTTTTGTAATGCTTCTGTTTGTTTTCTAATTCTTCCACACACAGTAACCCCTTAGGCCTTAGTGGCTTTACTGCTCTGGTTGGGATGAACTCAATTAGTGTATATATATATATATATATATATATATATATATATATATATATATATATATATATATAATTTTCGAATTCGTAATTACCGTCTGGTAGACTTGCGCTCTGCTGTTGACCCGAACAATAATATCCAAAGGAGTAAAATGCGTTGATCTAGCCTGACATGCTCAGTTACTTTCACGTTCAAATCTACATATTTGGAAACCGTCCATTCCGGTAATTCGAACATAATGATAAAAAAAACGTTGTGTTAAAAAGACATTTTTACTCTTGACACCGCTGTATACTCTCTCAGTGATTTCTTTTTTCTTTTTTTTTTTTACTAAAAAGCTATTTAAATTATTTTAATAGAACTCAAACATATGAAATTGGGTGAATGCATTCTATTTTTGAGAGCGTGCTGAAATATCTACGGTTCAAAATAATCTCAAATATCAGAATTTATTTTTAATGTCTTCTTGGGCAGGCAGAGAAATGTTCAAAACCAATTTATTTACTGGGTACCCTTAAAACCCCTATTTATTTTTAAAGTAAACGCCTTGTAATCATAAAAGAAAAAAAATTAATTGCAGAATGAAATATTAATAACACTTATTAAATTTATCAAATGTCGTTTCCAACAAGATGGCGGTCCGTATCACTGTAAAAGACGCGTTGCTCAATAGCATTTCGAATCCAATTCTGGGGCATTTGTGGCGTTGGTGTTATCTTCAGCATTTCCTTCACGTCCAATTAAAGTGTTCGAATTCGTAATCACGTCTGGTAGACTAGCGCTCTGCTGTTGACCCGAATATCCGAACGAATAAAATACTTTGATCTAGCCTGACACGCTCAGTTACTTTCATGTTCAAATCTACAGATTTAAAAACCTTCCATTCTGGTAATTCGGACATAATGATAAGAGGGACCATATGATGGAAACACGACAGTAATAATTATCCCATCTGCAAGAAAAAGAGATTCAAGGAATTTCTGCAAGCTGACAATATAAGTCGGTCCTGTAACTTTAGTTTCGGTAGAGATATAAATGTCCATAAATCTTTGATATTGTTAGACCCATACAACTATTACCATTAGGCAACTCCCTTTCCTAATATTTCAAAATGAAGAGGTTCCTTCCTCAGTTTCGGACAAAATCATTCTCATTGTTCACCTTCCCAAATGTGACAAATGTGCCGATTTAATTTTCCGCCATTACCACAATGTCTACAAGATACTGTTGATAGCACAGCAATGTAACTGTTCTAGAACAGTCTTTCGAAATCCTGCTGAACGTTGTGATCCTTGCAAGAAAATTCGGTAATGTTTAACATTCGTATTTGCAAAAAAGATGTTGTGTAAAAAGACATTTTTACTCTTGACACCGTTGTATATTTTCTGAAAGTTTTTTTTTTTTTACTAAAAATCTATTTAAAGAATTTTAATAGAACCTAAATATATGAAACTGGATGAATGCATTCTATTTTTGTCTCAAAAAATTTCACAACAAAAATATTAAACACTATTTAAATTATTCGGACTATTGTCCTCATCTTTGTCGCCATGTTTATCACAACATTTCAGCTGTTGTACGCTCCAGACTTCTTCAGGTGGTTGGAATGTTGAACTGAACCCTTTATTTCGCTCACTGGGGTAAACTGTTCTAGTTCCACGTGCTATGTCTAATGCATGTCAGTTATCTTCTGTTAATTCCCATCTGAAAGTTCGCCACTGCCCTAACCAGGTATTGAACTCACACTCTTTAGGGCCTGTCACTGGATCTAATTAACGCCTTTATCTTTTTGACAGGACCCAAAGAGTTGAGTTCAATGGCTGGTTAAGGCGCTGGAGAACTTGGAGAGGGGAATTAACAGGACATAACTGATAAATGACATCCATTACACATGACACGTGGAACTAGAACAGTCTACCCTAGCGAGCGAAATAAAGGGTTCAGTTCGACATTCCAAACACCTGAAGAAGACCGGAGCGTACAACGGCCGAAACGTTGTGATAAATATGGCGAGAAAGATGAGGACAATATTCCGAATAATGTAAATAGTGTACATAATACCTCATCTCAGAAATATAGACAGATACTGAAGGGCCGAAACGTAATAAATATGGCAACAAAGACGAGGACAATATTCCGAATAATGTAAATAGTATACATAATACCTCATCTCAGAAATATAGACAGATAAGAATATTAAACACTATTCTTCTAAATAAACAGTCAACTATAATCTCGTAATAATGAATAGTGTTTAACATTTTTGCTGTCAGTTCTCGAGAAAAAAATAAATTCAGATGCTTGTAATATATTTTAGTGAACTTATGTGACGTGAGCACATGAAAGAAATGTCCGAAAAATGCAATTTTTATTAGTCACATTTACTCCTAGTTATATGTTTATTTAAACTTCTCTTGTTCAGGCATATTTTTAGCAATAAATATGTTTTCATAGTTATTTTACAATTCTGTAAATGATAATTATTACATCTCAGTTTGCTCACATATTATTATAAACTTGTAAATATAGAATTAATCTTGTAAATAAACAATCTTATAAAATAATTAATGTTCAATTCATTTGTTGTCAATTCTCGAGAAAAAAGAGAATAAAAAAATTCACTTCCATCCGTTTGGGTTTAAAATTCTAAAAATAGCTTTTTAAAACAATAAAATTTGCTGAGGATGTATAGCGTAATAATATATAACTTTTGACATACATTTTTTTTTTTTTTTTTTTTTTTTCGGGTACAAAGGTAAAACTTTTTCAATTCGTTGTTCGTTTTTTTTTATTTGTTCTTCTTCATTTTCTTGTTCTCTTTCTTTATTTTTCTTCTGTTTCTCTTCTTTATTCTCCTTTATTCTTTCTCCTTTATTCTTTTTCTATTTCTTTATTTCTTTTCTTGTTCTTTCTATTGTTCTTTCTTTCCTTCTTTTCTTCTTCTTCTTCTTCTTCTTCTTCTTCTTCTCTTTCTCATCTTTTTTCTTCACTTTATTTGTTCTTTCCTTTTTCTTTCTATTTTTCTTTTCTTTTTTCTTTCTTCTTCTCTTTCTCATGTTTGTTCTTCACTTTATTTGTTCTTTTATTGTTTTCTCTATTTTCACTCTTTCTTTCTTTCTTTCTTTCTTTCTCTCTCCTTTTTCTTCTTCTTCGTCTTCTTCTTCTCTTTCTTATGTTTGTTCTTCATTTTCTTTGTTCGTTCTATTTTTCTTTCTTTCTTTCTTTCTTTCTTCTTCTTCTTCTTCTCTTTCTCATGTTTGTTCTTCACTTTATTTGTTCTTTTATTGTTCTCTCTATTTTCACTCTTTCTTTCTTTCTTTCTTTCTTTCTTTCTTTCTTTCTTTCTTTCTTTCTTCTTCTTCTTCTCTTTCTCATGTTTGTTCTTCATTTTCTTTGTTCGTTTTTTGTTCTTTCTATCTTTCTTTCTATCTTTCTTTCTGCTTTTTCTCGTCATCGATTTTCACTTTCTTTGTTCTTTTCTTGTTTTTTCTCTTTCTTTTATACACCATCGCTACCTCTTTACATTTTTCAAGTTTTGTATTCAGCTATTCTGCCGTACCTTATCTCATCGACCAGAATCGAAATCATTAGTCCACAACCCCACATCACAGTGACTTATGAACTCAATAACCTATTCCATAGCTGTGTAGTATTTACATCGACAGGGTTACATACAGATTTCAAAAGTTGTCCTTCTTCTAGACTGGTTTACAACCACTAGCAGGGATCGATTCATGCTTTTCAAAAAGGGCATTTGTGCGAAAGTGAATGCAACGAACTCTATCGGAATTCGAACTCGGCTCGCCGATTTCTCTTTCGGAGTCGTTAACCATTACAAAACTTGCACATGCGAAATCTAATAAGCAACATCAATTTCGATATCAGTCTACCTGGCCGTTTTATTTGATACATGATGGCGTGCGATCACCTCCGGCTGAGTTATAAGATTTGTCAACAACGTTAAGATAGCAATAATTTCTTCAGAGTCAGTGATTTGTCTTTCAGTGTGTTTCGATTATTCGCACTCTCTAAGTTATATAAATTTATTATCGATAAAGTTGCAAATATATGCGTTACATACATAAACATTCAATAAAACGGGTTAAAGATGGTGCAAGCAGCAAACTGAATGCGAAAAATGAACGCAAATGTCCCTTTTTTGCTTCCAGAAAATAAATAATCTCAAAAAAAAAAAAAATATCAAGACAAAGGATAAACATTGAGACGAAGAACGGCGACAAAGAGAGAGAAGATCAGAGAAAAAGGAAAGAGAAAAAAAAAGGAGGGAAAATGAAGTAAAGGACAGAGAGAGAAGAAAAAGAGAGAAAGAATAGAGAAAGAGAAAGAGAAAAACAAATGAAAAGAAAGAACAAAGCAAAAGAACAAAGAAAGAGAAGAACAAGGAAAACACGTGAAAGACAAAGCGACGAAGGATAGAAAAAAAGAAAGTATTAAAAAAAGCAGACTACAAAAAAGAGAAGAACAAAGAAAGAAAGAAAGGGAAAAATAAATAAGACAAAGAGAAAAAAAAAAAAGAGCAAAAGGAAAGACAGAGAGAAAGAGGAAGAATAAAGAAAAAGAACAACAGAGAAAGAGAAGACCCTAGAAGAAAGAAAAGAAAGAACAGAGAAAAGAAGTTTACGGACGCAAAACATTTTTATTCGCGTAGTGGATCAGTGTATGGATGCACCAGCAAAACAAAATTCAAACGCATGGCCGCACACCTAAACATATATTTTTTAGACACAAAAATTGTGGAACCTGGAAATATGCTGTCACTTTTATGCATTAAGTGCACATGTTTATGCACTCTTTTAAACAAAAATAAAATTGTTTATAAGATACGAACCTAAGTGCATATGTTTTATTTTATATACATACATGGACATACATACACTTCTATAATGATCTGAATACACTATACATGTATACATACATATATATGCATACATACATACATACATATATATATATATATATATATATATATATATATATATATATATGATAAAATATGGCTTTAAGATATGGCATATTTATGGGGAAGTGCTTAATGTCCGGGAGAGACCGTCTGCATAGTGTGCGATGGATAAATTGTCGTATGAATTATTCAAAAATGAAAATAACATGGACATCTCATTTTAAAAGATATATTTACCAAAATTACACAAAAATACATTGAGATACTAAAAAGTAAATGTATTCAATAAAATCGATATTGACTTCAACCACGGCCTCCAGACGACTTCGGAATCTGCTACAACTCTTTTGGACGGTTTCTCTTGTTTAAATTGGTGAATGCTGCCGTAATCCTTGCCTTCAGTTCACCTTTGCCGTTACAAGGAGGTTTGTTGGTCTCTCGTTCAACTCCCCTCACCCCCAACACACATAATAATCAAGAGGGTTGTAGTCTGGATGGCCATATGTAATGGGTGATGTGGTCGCAGCCATGATTGGATTCTCTTTCTTGTGTAGCATGGTGCAGAATCCTGTTGCCAGACATAGAGTCTTCCTGCAACCACCCTGTTAACACATGGCAGCACTGCATCTTTAAAGCACTTGATGTAGGCCTCTGAGGGAAGAGGAAAGGCGTGATGTCACCATCAGGTGTTATCATTCGAAAGACCTTATTAATCAACATTAGACTCTTTACAGATCCTCTGCAATTTTCTCAAATTGACACCCAAACACTTTGAAATGTCCCTATTGGAGCTTTCGGCGCGAATGCCAAGCAGTACAGCTTGAAGTTTCCAAATTTTTGGCGGAGTGAATTGTGTCATGGTAGTCTTTTCTCACAGACGGTGCACAACAAACCCTATTACACTGTGCAACCGACAAAATCATCACAAGCAACGCGCATGCGCGAAATAAAAAAATATAAGAGGGTGACAATTTACCAATAGCACTGATGTGGATTCGACCCATAGAGCATGAAGATTGAGTTCTATTCAAGCATTGAATAGACTGTCTCTATTCGATGTTGATCGCTGTGTCGACACTGAATGTTAACAACGAACTATTTTAAATTAAGAATGGTACGTCGATTAAACGAAAATTACTTAGAATATAATACATATTACTTATAATACATTCAATCTCGCCGTTAATTTTGTCGGCACGCGTACACTAGTGTGTATATATATATATATATATATATATATTTATATATATATATATATATATATATATATATTTATATATATATATATATATATGAAATCGTTTGGTTATGTGGATAACCCCGAGGAATTCCTAAGAAATAATATATATATATATATATATATATATATATATATATATATATATATAGGTTGGTGCAATAATAATGACGTAATACTGTCGTTTTTAACGTATTTTTAACGTCAAAAAACGACATTCTTACGTCATTATTTTTGCACCAACCTAATATATATAAAGATATTTTTGTAGGTACAAAATTTAATGATCGAAATAAAAGTATAAAACTTTATATTACGAGACATATTAAAAAAAACAAAAAAAACGGGCGAAGCAACCGATCTCGCTCCCGCTCTTCAGGCTTCAACGGGAGATTTAAAATTAACACAGAAAAATGTACAATTTATTTTTCTGTGTTAATTTTAAATCTCCCGTTGAAGCCTGAAGAGCGGGATCGAAACCGGTTGTTGCAAAAATAATGACGTAGGAATGTCGTTTTTTTGACGTTAAAAAATACGTCAAAAACGACATTATTACGTCATTATTTTGCACCAACCTAATAATATGTCTCGTAATATTAAGTTTTATACTTTTATTTTTTATATATATATATATATATATATATATATATATATATATATATATATATGTGTGTGTGTGTGTGTATGTATGTGTGTGTGCATACATCGAGTCAATTGCCTCGTCCACTGCGAGGAAAGTTGGCTCCCTGAGCCGTGCTAGGAAGTTTTTCTCCCTGAGTCGATCCTCCAGATATACAAATCCACAATTCGCCCTTGCATGGAGTATTGCTGCCATATATGGTCTGGCGCCCTTCTGTTTGCCTCGGGGTTCTTGATAGGCTCCAGAGGCGGATATGTAATATGGTTGGCCCTACCCTGGCGTCTCGTCTACAGTCACTTTCTCACAGACGCACCGTCGCCTCCCTCTGTCTGTTCTACAAATACTTTCATGGAAATTGCTCCGAGGAACTGCATTCCTTGGTTCCCAAACTTCATGAGTTCAAGCGCCCTACGAGGCTGGCATCCCGCTCTCACCCTTCACTGTCGAAACTCATAAATGTAGCCGTCTCTACTACTCTAATAGCTTCATGTCTCGCACCTCTCGCCTGTGGAACTCTCTTCCCTTCTCCTGTTTCCCTGAGAGTTATAATCTCCAGCTATTCAAGTGTAATGTCAATCGACATCTCCAGTTGCCTTAATCTATCTACTACCCTCATCCTTTCTTCTATCACTCCTATCTGATCTTCCTATTTTCTGTAACCCCTTGCGTCCTAGTGGCTCTCCGCCTTGCTTGGGGTGAAATGCTTAAAAAAAAAAAAAAAAAAAAAAAAAATATGGGTAAACCGTTGTTAGATCGGACGTGTTTTAGATCTACTCGCCCACAGAGTGCAGCGCCGAATAATGCCCTATGATCCCTCATACGCTTGTGAGAATAGATGACAGAGCAGGCACAAAAAAGGATAGTAAAAAGTCAAATATTGCTCAGAGCTAAAACGTACAGGAGGTTGTGAAGAGTCATTCCTTTGGGATTATTTCATCCTCGATAAAATTCATAGATATAATGTTTTGGGGGCCATTGCCTTGTTTTCAGTGGCACCGTTGTGATTTCGATGACAATAATGCAATTTGGGTCTTTTCTTTGTACACATTTCCTTACAAATGTTTCATTCGGTTTGGTTTGGTTTACGGCATATCAACACCACAATGGGTAATTTAATGTCGACTAGATTTTTATTGCTGATAATATTATTTTTTTTAAATTGTATTGCTGGTATTTATTTTTTTTCCAAAATGTATTACAGGTCATTTTTTTCCAAAAATGTATTGCTGATATGAAAACCTATTTTTATACTTTCATAGTGTTTTGACTTATTTAGGGGAGGGTAGCTATGTGCCCATAGCTGGGCCCCTGACAGGTGTTTTATTCGGGTTAGCTCACTTCAATCACTGAAACATTCAAGGAAGAACTACAAAACTAATCGACATATTTTTGCCGATGACTACTCCAAAATATCTTTAATTTTACGCCTGAATGCCAAACTCGCCCGCTTATCTATCTATCTATCTATCTATCTATCTATGGGGTTACAATGCACGCACGCACACACACATATACATACATATATATACATATATTTTATATATATATATATATATACATACATATATATATATATTTTATATATATATATACACATATATATATGTTGGATTACTGTTACTACTACTACTACTACTACAACACACACAAGCACACACGTATATATATATATATATATATATATATATATATATATATATATATATATATATATATATATATATATGTGTGTGTGTGTGTGTGTGTAAGGGGGGACGCATCTCTTGACTGAGATTTCTCGAATGCTCAGACCGATAAACATGATACGCACTTTTGAATAAATGAAAATGAGGCGTCTATTTCAAATACGAGTATCCACTACAATAACTTTGAAGTAATAAAAGTGTCGGCTAAAAACCAATTCATGATTTATCTGGACTACATATATATATATATATATATATATATATATATATATATATATATATATATATATATATATATATATATATATGGTGCTGCAGAAATGCCAGCATATATATCCCAGAAATATCTCCGCATAATGGTAAAACATTCGGGAGATGTAGACATTGTTGCCACTAATATATCTCTATTATGTAGGGGGGATTTCTAGGAGGTATAAGTCAGAGATATTTCTGTTCTTCGTCTTGTATATATATATATATATATATATATATATGTGTGTGTGTGACAATCCAACATAAGCCAAACAACTGTAGCTGGAAGGGATTTCTTTTAGATAAGTCGATCGTACTTACTGTCCGTCAAAAGCCCACTAAAATCATAAAAACGAGACTGGCATTTATCGGCACAGATATACAATCAATAAAAGAAGAAGCTGTGATTTTTTTCCCCGTTATTTTAAAGGTAAGCGGAACATTGAGCTCTTCATCAAAGTCTATCGGCAAGACAGCGATGAAAATGCAACTGAAATCATAAAATATATCCTCTTTTCTATTGATGGGGGGGGGGGCGGGGGGGGGCACGGACCGTAAACGAACTGAACCAAGTCATAAATATCAAAGTCTCAGAATGATAAATGATAGAAGATATTAACCTCGGATTTTTGAATATGGTTTTAAAAAAAACCGGCTCAAATTCTGCTTCTCATTCTGCCATCAACTTTTGTTGGCCAATTTAATGGGATAATTGTAACGTTTCTTCGCTCAAAATTGATTTTGTTAGTCTTGCATTTTTTAGGTGAAAGAGCCGTTACCAAAAGGAATATATATATATATATATATATATATATATATATATATATATATATATATATATATATATATATATATATATATACATAT